AGCGGGGGCTCGGGGGGGGGGTTACTGGAATGTGCGTCTTTCAGAAAGCCCCCGGTAATGACATTGTCCAGCACAAGCGCTGGTTTCAGCTGATTGAACCGTAGTTCTTCAACCCCTGCGAGTAAAAAAAAAAAAAAAAAAAAGACCTTTTGCTATGTAAAATGACAACCTGATCCCGAACCTGATCATAAAAACTGGATCAATTCAGCCCTTCCAGGCCGTTCAAATCAAATCAAAGTTTATTTTTCAAATGCACAACAGTACAGCGTGCAGCAGTAGCTGAACGGATGGGAGAAATCCCAGCCAGTCTTTTCCTGATAGAAGGCCGGTATATCAGCTTCTCCTATGTGGCTGTGAGCTTGTTCCAGACTCCCACCGCCCTGTTCGTAAAGAGCTGTCTCCTGTTCTCAGTGCCTGGTGCGCTTCCACGCAGTTTCTTCTGGCTTGTGTTTACTGCAGATTTTGAAGACTTTGCCAGGTTGGCTGTGTCGGTGATTTGGAAGATTTAGAATACTTGTATCAGATTCCTTTCTCGTCTCCGAGACTGAAAAGATTCATTTTTTAGTCTGGCAGGATGGGACATTCTTTTAACTGGGGAATGTTTCTGATTTGCTGTGTGCTGGGACTGCAGTGCTTCACCAAGTGGGGACTGAAGCTGGGGCTTTGGAATGCTGTGGGGTGGAAAGAACTACATAAATGCAAGGAATCATATTCAACGTTATTTACAAAAAAAAATCTTTTGGGCTTTGGGACTGTGCAGTTCCAGAGCATTTTACTATGTGTTACTTTCTTTAACTGGTCTTAAGAAACCCTAAAACTCTGTTTTGTGCTGACTGTCTTTGCACTGGCAAGGAAGCAATGGAGACCTACAGATTCGAGAGAAACCAAGGAACAAATGAAAAGCTAACTACGTGTAACACAGGGGCACAGAATGTGACGAAGCTGATGAGCTCTTCAGTGACCGCATGCTCTGTTAGACGTGTGTGTACACACACACACACACACACTGGAGTGAGCTGGAGCGAGAGAGAGGGGCCCAGTCTCGGGCCGCTCGGTGCTCGAGCTGCAGGGCGAGAGGAAAATGAATGAGATAAGGCCCTCTTGAGCTGCAAACCCGAGAGGCAGACGCATGTCATATTCCTTTCAAGCACTGACCGGCCGCCCCAGTCGCCCCGCGGCTGCATTGAAGGATATGGCCATCAGGCCAGCGGCTCGCCCATCTGTTTGGCCCTTCCCTCCCGACGTGCATTGTATCGGTGCAGATGATCGCACGGGAAAGTTTTCACTGGAAACTCACCCCACAGTGCAGCCTGCGGAGGAACAGAGACAAGGTGCACCCACAGAGGCTTCAGAGTGAAGGGTGTGGGGCAGCTTTCTGTCCCCCGGCTAGGAATTGGCCCACACATTGTGGTCAGAAACTACTGTAGTTTGTTTGCAGGAGCTTTGAAGAAGGGAGTTTAAACGAAATCTTTTGTGTCTGAATGTGGTTTTCCCTGAATGTGCCCATGGTATTTAGGACAGAAGTGATTGTAGCACAGGGCCAAAGAGGCCCAGTACACATTGAAACAAGCGCCTGTAAACACGCACACACACAGAATGTGCTTAGGCAAATGAGGCGTGCTCATGGACTGTAAATCCAGGACACACGAGCATGCTCTCAGACCTCTTTAACATACACGCCCAGACGTGCACGCAAACAGGATGCAAAAATATATTTGCTCAAGGTGGAAGTGAACAGACTTTCTCCACTATTATGTGCTTGATGTTCCAGATCATTTAACTGAGGAAGAAAGCTGGAATCCATGTGCATTATTTCCAAATGGTTTTATAAAAAAAGAAAAAAAAGAAAATTGCAGACCAAAATTCCCCCTGTCCCTGTGAGGTGGGGGGCTCCTCACTCTCCCTTGTGGTGTCTGTTTTCCTTCGGCCCGACGGACATCAGAAATCTGCCCACACATCTCCACACACCCACGCACTCACAAACACACTGGCGCGCACCCACTCTCACGGACACGCTGTTAGACACAGACACACACACACAGGCAGCAAGATGACTCACCCCCACCCCCACTCCCACAGCACAGCAGAGCAGTGGGATTAACACGGCCCCCCCCTCCACTATGTCTTTCCCTGAACCCTCCGTTCCTTTATCTCCAGTTCACTCAGAGCGCTCGCTGACAGGACGCGGATGCTGCTGTCTTGCGCGAGCCGAGCCTGGCTTGTTTTCCCCGCTGTGCGCTGCCGCTGTGGAACGGGGGCCCCTGTGCGCCGCTGCCAGTGACATCCGAGAGGTGTCGCGCTGGGCACGGTCGCCAGGCCCCCCCCCATGACTGAGGCTCGGGGGGCTGCGTGGGCACAGAGGCGGGGAAACAGGCCGAGGGGATAAACTGAGAGAGGCAGCGCCTGCTGGGCTGAGGGGCTGAAGGGCTGGGTACTGACCAGCTCAGTGACTAACCAAGTACCAGCAGGACTGATGGCCTCTGTGGCCGGGGAGGCAGGCTGACCTGGAGCTCTCTGAGGGGCTGGCAGTGCTCACTGTCTTATTGATTACAGCTGGAGGCCGGAGGAGAATAGAGACCGCTCCTGCTGTGGCTCAGAGGTTATAGATGAAGCAATTTAGAGTTGGCCGGTGGGCTGTGAGTGATATACTGGCTTCCACAGTCCATAATGTGGCTCTGAGGGTTTGCTGTAAGGTGATCAGTGACTGCAAAAGTCAGACCAACAAGCGCCAAGTGGTAACTCTTATTTTCCATCTTGAGACGCTTTTAAGAAAAGATGCATTTAAAATAGGACTGCAACAGAATCGTTTTATTTGCCTGTTAGCATGGTTGTATTTGATGTTTACTTCAGTGCATTAGCCTCATGCGTGTGATGGGATCTGCACCCAGCAGATGGCGATAAAGCACAGAAAACAGGAAAGGGCTTGAGCCAGCCTGGAGCATGGAGTTCTTTCTGGGTTTTGTCAAACGCTGCCAGCGCTGCTGTTCCTCAGATTCCAAACTGCGCAAACATCTAGGTTTAAATCATTTTAAAGCAAGACATGTATGTCTGAAGACACCAAAGTGGATTGTTGCTGTTATTAACTTGTTAAGCCTAGAAGCCGTTCAGTTCTGAGCATGATATATCTGACCTTCGCATTTTGATGTGATGTCATGACAGCTACCTTCCACAGTCAGTTTATGACTGTTAAGTGCTGCTGTGTCTCTAGGATCTTCGGGGGGTCAGAATGCAGCTGAGGACCCCTGAGACCCAGCAGGGGCAGTAGACGGGGAGTCTGGGAGTTGTGCCCAGGTCTGATGGTGGGGTATGTATCTGTACAGATATTCAAGAGTGCTATGAGGTGACCTTGAGTCTGAACGCTGTGCCACATGAGCCGGAGACCACTGCCAGGGCGTCGAGCCTGCAAGAAGACTGGGAGGTAAGAGCTGTGCTTCCCACACTCCATTACTATACAGTTGATATACAGTATAAGCCAATGTCCACGCTAGTATTTGACAGGCGATATTATTCGACACATCGTATCAATGTGATAGAGAAATAATTATTTCTTCTGTCGCATCACAATGACATTTAGCACATTGTTGCTCATTAAACATTGTCCTATACAATTCTAGTTTTATTCCAAAACTAGGGAAAGGAAGAGGTGGGAGGTGCAAAGTAGTGATGCTGTAAGGATTGGCCTCCCCCCTGTCAAGCAAAGAACATGCAAGGAAGAGGCAGGCCAGCGCCAGAGTGTCGGCAGGAGGGGTTGTGGGATATTGGTGGTGGCCAGCTCTGGCAGGGGCTCGGGCTGTAAGCTTCAGTCACTCAACAGGGGATTAGTCCTCCTCAGTGCAGCGTCTTTCAGCCATCTCATGAAGAGTTCTTCCCCTTGTCACACGGCAGCCCGTAAACCAGCTTGTCTTGGAATGTCAGGAGCACAAACCTTTGCCATCCTCCTGGAGTCAAATTGTCGCCCTTGCAAAGTAGAGAACAGAAAGCCATCCAGTGACCAGCTTGACCACCGTCGCCAGCAGGTGGCGTTAATTCTGATGAGATGAAGGGGGGTGAATATATTCTTTATTTCTTCGAGCGCACATCAGTATTTCTTCATCATTTTTTGAATTCTTTAAGTCGCGGCGGATACTCCAGGTATCGGAGTCTTGTCTTCAATAGCTACCACACGGTAGGAGGGTCTGGGACTCCGGGTTCCAGTCTCACTGTGGGTCACTTCAGTGCTCCCGTCTCCCTGACGGGCTTCTGGAGGCCTGCTCTCTCCCCGACCTCTTGCGTCCTCCGCCCGAGCACACGGCAGATCACGGCGGCGTCCACAGCCCGAGAAGACGCCTGGGGGCGCCCGGGATGTATCGGCCGCCCTGCCTGTGGATGGTCTTTTGCCCACAGCCAGGAAAGGGCCGAGGCAGCGGTAGTGCACGCTCACGGGGGCGCACGGTGAGCACGGAGGTGGTGACGGCCCCGATTTCCAGATGTCCAGCTCCAGGCTCTGTCATGTCGTCCACCCAGGAGGAGGGCGGTGAATGAGCCCCCGATACGTCCTCACGGCCGACATGGACGAGAGTGGCCTCAGCAGCTCGTGGAAGCTTCTCTTCTTCCGGGCAGGAAGACCCGGCCTCCGAGACCTCGGCGGTCCAGAACTGCACGACAGCAAAGGCAGGAACTGCAGAAACGGAGGACCAAAAAACGGGGACGAGAGACAAGAATCCAGGACTTTCCATCCTTCTCGAAACATGGCCTGCCTATTCCAGGCTGGCCTGCTCACCCATGTCCACAGTGTTTTGCCCACAACAGCCAGGAGAGATCAGTCAGAGCCAGTTACTGTAACAGCAGTAGACACTGCTGCCCACTGTCTAATAAGTGAATTCATTTTGAGCTTGGCTCATTGTCATATTAATAGTGAGATCTTGTTTCTCGAGCGTGTCCTTCTTGCTCTTTCTTTTGCTAGTGTCGTACACCCCTTGTCCTTGCTGGCCGGATGCTTATGAGAGAAAGGAGTTGCCGGTGCCCTTGTACAAGAATACACATTCTAGCCCGAGCAGTTCCCACCCCCACACTTACTGAAGCAGCACTAAGCCAGAAACAATTAGTACAGTAGCAGAAGCCATGCAAAAATACAGCCATGCAGTCAAATACCCATAAATGGAGTCATATTTATCCGGGTTAAATTAATACCTCATCCCTGATGTCCTAATGGCTCTGAAATAGGAGGTGATGCGCATTTCTTCATTAGCAGCATGATTTAATATAGTCCTATTTTTTTTTTCTTTCACCCAAGCCAGAAAGTTAATTAAATTGAGGCTGTTCGGATTTGTATTGCCCATAAAGAGATTGCCCTTTGGCACTGTTCTAACTACAGGATTAGAAAAGGAGGGACTGGCTCCAGTGTTTTGCTGTCAGCTGTCCCTGCTGGACTACCCAGGGGGTTGAAGCCATGTTTTCTAAAACCAAGAAGCTGTCTTAGTTCAGCGCCGCTTCTCAAATAGTACAACACGTTTGCAGTGCGCCTCCCGACCAATTTCCAGACGCGATTTCCACTGCTGCAAAGCGAAAGAATTGTTTTTTTACGCACCATTTCCATTCCTGTCCTAAACCTGCAGTTGTGGACTGTATTCTGTAGCGAGTGCTGCCCGTGAACATCACGATTGTGACGTATGAGGCGTTTCTGTGACTTGCTGTGAACTTTTGTGCTGTGCACAGATGTACAGCTTGAACTAATTATATATTTTACCAATATCGATCCTAATGTTTATCAAAGAAAGAAAATAATGGAAAATGTTACTGAACTGCTACTGAAAAGTAGGGTTACGGAGTAATTGTCCTTCCTTACTTCCCAGAGCAGGTAGCCCCTACCCTGCTTCCTTCCGGAGCAGCAGTGCTCACAAGCAGCAGCTACACCAGTGACAGCTGCAGCTGCAGGAGCAACAGGGGCTGTAGCAGCAGTAGCTCTATAACCAACGTGCTTCTAATGAGGAGAGGACTGGGAGGAAATTGGATTGACTGGGAGTCTGACTGGGTGAGGTCCCTCAGCCGAGCCAGGAGTGGAGAAAGTGTCAACTCGGAGATGGCTCCTGGTACGAGGCTGAGGGCTGCAGGGGAGTGGCAAAGTGCGATTTCCATATCACACAACCGTGGTACAGAGCGTGTACCGAGTGTCTTCTGTCACGTCAGTGACGTGTTTAGCACAGAAGCCTGTACTACCCCGTGCTGCGCCGGCTGGTTCCTCAGGTGCCTGGGTCTGCCAGCTCTCTTCCCTCTGTTGTTGTCCGTATTGTTCTTGGACAACAGGCTGGAGCTCGGCTCGGGCGGCGCCTGCCCCTACCACACTGGCCACTGAGACGGGAGCCCCGGAGAGCCTCGATGACTGGAGGCAAGAATGGCATCCCCAGGCAGTCCTCTGTCAGGGCAGGGGGCTCCCAGGACTGGCGCAGAGGCGCACAGCCAGCCTCCACACGGCAGCATCTCCCATCCTGGGCACACGCTGAAAACTGTAGACGATTTGGAATCAGCTTGGATTCCAAACAAAGGATTTAACTACTTTTTTACGTGTAGCTATAGAGGTAGTAGTAGTACAGGTGGAGCAGGAGTAATAATACAACTGTTTTCCCTTTTTGTTTGAAATGCTTATCTGCACAGTGCCCTCGGCCGCTCGGACTAAACTTGGACATGTGCATACTGTCTGGCAAAGCCATACGGCAAATGTTTACCTGCTCAACATGTCTGTTGACCTGCTGCAGTGTAAATGTTTGGCTCCGTCACCTAAAAACCTCGTGGTGCTCCAAGTTAACCCCTACATGACCGGAGGGAGGGCGGGGTCTGTGTACATTAATGAACACTGAGGCCCTGTGTCTTATATTATTTTGTTCAGCAAACAATTGTTTTGTGCGGCAAAAAAAAATTCACTTCATAAAGTGAAAATGGTTTTTATCATGGTGGGATCTGAAGCAAAATGATGCATTTTTATTCACCGGGCGCATAAATGACCCAACACTAGCCCAGCACTAACTGCGGAAGCAGTGCTTTTTTAAGCAGGCTGCGATCTGTGAATGTGTGCAAGTGCATCGGCAAAGGACTGACTTGCTTCAAGACCCTTTCCAGAATGGGTGTGTTTAAATCCATCTCCCCTCCCGTTAACGCAGAGGTCTGTCCATAAACAGGCGTGGCTGAATTAAGACCTCTCTGCCTCACTCGCAGCCAGTGTGTGCGTGAGTGAGTATTCCCTGGAATTTGTAGGACAGCACGAGACCTACCGGCAGAGCGGAAGTCTTGGAGCAGGTCCGGAGTCCAGCCGGGCCGGAGAGAACGGATGGAATCATTCAGTAACTGGGGTCAAGGACAGGGGGGTTGTTGACCACAATCATGTTTTATTCAAAAGGACTCCACCTGCTGCCCACAAAGTGTCTCTGCGGCCTGCGCTGTGGCACGGGGAGCTTCCTCTTCAGCTGCCAGGTGGGTCTGCCTGCATGGCCACTGCGTGTGTGTTGGGGAGCTGAGGAGTCCTGCTGCCCGAACTTGGAAAGCCCAAGTGCACTGCAGCTGCTGGGTGGGGTCACCACTGCTTTAAAAGTGTCTGTGCCCCAGTGAGGGGAAAAAAAGACATCCAGTCTTTTAGTTCTTCCTCTGAAATGCATGAGGTGCCATTGAAACTTGTCACCGCATCGATCTGGGGGTTGGGTTGGTTTTGATGTAGGTGTTCCTCGGGCTTGCTGTTTCTTTGCGGTGTTTAAGGCTTGTAGATGCTTACTGCTCTCCACACTCCTGGAGCTGCTGGACCCTGCTTGGCCCTTGTCGGGCGATGTCTGGTTCCTTGAAGCTGGGGGTGGAGTTCTCTTTCATGGGCGGCTGACCAGGCCGGGCTCTGTTTCCACAACAAGTGTTTTCATAGAACTGTCTCTCTCCGGGGAGTGTGCTCCAGGAGGAAGGGAGAAGTGCCCCAGCAGGTCCTGCGAGAGCGACGCCGAGCGCTGGAGCAACAGTCCTCTCGCCGCGCCCTTGTCGTGTCCCTTGTTCGAAAGCGAACTGCTGGAGAAGTCCTGGATGATTGGAAGATGTTTAGTGCAGGCAGTGCTACCGCATTAGAAATCCCTGGGTTCTCGCTCCCTTGAAGTGTGCCACAGGCCTGTGTGGCAGTTCTTTCCCCCAGTCGGAGGAAGATCAGAATCACAAGGCAGGGATAAAGAGACCGGGGTGATTTTGCAGTCTGGTGAGCTCTGTCTTCACCTGCATGTGCCGCCTTTTATTTTGCTGTGTGTGTGGACTTCCTGGGAGTTAGTTTCTTAATGCATTCCATTAGGATGCAAATGCTGGCTGCATGAATCAGTCCATTTGTAAAGGGCCCTAATGTTAGATAGACAAAAGCTTCCAATATATTAAGGCTCATGGACGCTTCTGCTTGGGGTTTTAATTGCTTGTTTGTTTTTTTCGTGGTGAATAGGGAAGGGGAGCTCTGTGCCTCTCACAATCCCTGTTCTTTTAAACAGACAGGTCTAATGCACTTCTGTCCAACCGCAGAGCAGCATTACAGCCTGTAGTGAGACTGATTTCCTGACGTCCTCAAAACTGTCTGGAGCAAAGGTCCAGCAGGAATGAGTGCATTAGTAAAGCCGTTTACGTATGAGCCTGGAAAAAGTTTGGAGGTACTGGATGGACTTAAGCATGAAACGGAAGTGAGGCTTCAGCATATGGGAAAGCCCATGGAAGAGGTTAACAAGTTGTGCTGACCCTGTGCTGTGTTTTTTGTGGCCACATTAATCTAACGGCACAAAACTTCAGGCCTGACGCACAATAAGAAGCAAACCTTTAAGAGAACCCTGTATTTTTTTGTGCGAAATTAAAAATAAATATTCACCTGATGCACATGACTCTACAGGATGGTCATTGTCATGCAATTGTTGTGCATTGGGCCAGTTCTGCTAGAGGCAGAATCTCCCTGATTCCTTACAGTGGACTCTGCAATTGCAGTGGATGTCCTGCGAGGGTTGGGATAGGGTGTAAGGTAAGGGCTACAGCCGGGGTTCAGGATAGGATGTAGGACCGTCGACGCTCTGGGCGCTGGGATCCTTGCTGTCCAGCTCACTCACATGATTACATAGCTAGCTTAGCTGTGCAGCTCCCCCATCTGCAACACATCCTTACAAATGGCAACTATGTCATTGTATGTACAATGCTGACAATAAGTGAGTTGTAATCATTCGATTATTGATTTAGAAAGTACCTTATTCTGCTTGATATCTCATGTCACGGTTCTGTGTGTCGATGCTAACACAGTCGGTCGAGTCGCAGTGCTTGACAGACTCAATGTATGGTTCTTGATAGTGGGTGCATAACTTACATTTTCTTACTCGGATCGCTTTGACCTCAGTGCTCTGACTCGGCCGGGCCAGCCCTCTAAGTCATCAGTCCCAGTGAGCTGTCCTTCACCAAAGCCCCTGAAGACGTCAGGGAGATCTGGGACTCCCACACGCGGGTTCTGTGCCAGGAGCTGACCTGCGACTGTGCCGCTGTGTTTTGCAGAGAGGCAGCCCCACAAGCCAGGCACCCCCATCTCCGGGCGACGCGTCGCTGGTGCGGGTCACCAGCAGGAGGTGCTCTCAGAAGGTGGAGAGGGTCTCTGGCCTGGTGAGCCACACCCACATCGAGATGCCCAAGGTCAGTGGTCACCCCAAGGGTTGAAACATACCGATTCTGAGCGACTGCAATGTGAATCTTACATAGAACTTAAAGGTATGAGGGAGGGCACCTGATGAGTCTGTCTGCTGGTTTTCTCTACAGCTGAGCTTGTTGTTGGGTGGTGGAACTCTTGATTGAACTGATGATTTAATGAAAGTAATTGGTCTCGGCTCCTAAAATGCTAGAGGTTTTTTTTTTGGGGTGATCGCGGCGCTGTCAGCCTGGCGCAGTCCGAACGGCAGCGGGCACCGAGCACTTTGCCTGCTTCAGGTCGCTATGGAAACCACATTCCTCCCCCTGTCTCCCCGCAGCCCCGCGCGCGCGCTCGCACGCAGACACTGACAGCGCTCGCTGCCCCCTTCCCTCTCTCTCCCCGGCTCGCTCGGTTCCCGATCTTTCCTCCTGGAAGGGGCCTCTCGGGCACGTTCCCTGGGCTGGGGGCTCCTGTGGTGCGGCCCGTGACCCTCTCTGCCTCGGCCGTCTTCCAGGCCCCTTCGCTTCCTGTCTGGAAACGGACTCTCCGGCTGCTCTTCCCTGCTCCCCCCCGTTCCGCCTCACCCCTGAGCCGAGCAGGCCGCGCAGAGCTGTCTTTGTTTGCTCCTTTCCTTGCTGCCTCCTCTCCTTCTCTCTCGGTTTTGTTGGCCATCTGTTCTCCAGTCCTCATCTTCCCTCTCTCGTGTTCTCTCAGTCTCACGAGCTGCCTCCGCGATCCCTCTTCTCTCTCCTTATTTCTCTGTCCATCACACTCTTGCTCCCTTCACCTTTCCACAGCTCTGCTGGGTGTGTCTGGATCCCCCATCTCTCTCTGCTCCGATCTCGCTCCATTTCCCCTCTGCGCTCCTCGCAGGCTGTCCCTGTCTTCTGCACATCTCAATCTCCCTCTCCCTATCATTACCCTGTCAGCTAGATGTGTTCTCTGTGCCGGAGCAGCTGTGCTCTGCCACCCAGCCTATTAATAGGAGCTGCTGCAGCACGGCCCTTTTGTCTTCCTCGTTATTTTAGCTCAGCGCCGAGCGAGTGCGCGGTGGCAGGGGCTCGTTAGAATTCACTGAGGCTCCGGCTCCAACCCCCACCCCCCAGAGACGCACCTCCCTGCCCCCCTCACCTCTCCGCAGTTCTTCTGGGGCGCTGCGGTCCAGCTGAGGGGTTGCAGGAGCAGAGGGCCGTGAAGTGGCTAGATGCATCAATTGGATGCTTTTGGCCAATCGACAGGCCACACTGCCACCTTTCGTTGGTACCCTCCTCTATGTTCTTATGGTTGGCGTGCTGTAGCGTGGTCCCAGGCCAGTGCGTCGCCAGTGGCCGGTGTCCTGGAGGCCTCGGACTGACTGTGACCTGATGCTCTCGCGTGAGCTCATGGTGAGCGCCGCAGTACCAGCGGTGACGGCTCTCAGGTCCCCCTTGGGACATCGCCGGGAGAAGGGCCACGGTTTGGTCCCCGAAAGGACATCGCTCGTCACCCCGTCTCATCTAGCTGTAGTTGCTGCCCGGCGGGTCTGACTGTGCCAGGGCTGTCCCTCTTCGTTGGGATGTTTTTGTCCATTGCAAGACGCGCAGGAGTGCTCCCACGGTTCGTGCTTCACACTCGGGTTGCACTGCAGGCTGCAAGTTCCACTTTCCTTCTGAAAGCTCAGTGAGTGTCTAGGATAAGCTGCTGGTTCATAGATGTTTGTTGCGAAGTTAGTATTACGGTATACAGGCACGGGGGATACCAGACAGAGCCTTCCCTAATAAATCCTAATGTGCTGAAGGGGCTGTCATAGCTCAAGATGTGACGCGTACAATGACTGGTCCTTTAAGGCAGCCTGAATTTCCTTTTCTCCAAATATGGGCATGTGTCCTGTCAGGTGACCAGAGCTTGAGCACATGACCTCTGTGAGAAATGCAAAGATTTTTTTTTTTTAAAAGCCTCGATCTGTGCGCTGTGTAAGATGGGGGCACACGGAGTGTGGCCAGCGGAGTGTGGGTTACATAAGGGCCCTGTATGAGCTCAGGCTGACAGACTGGGTAAAAGCTGGGAGCCGTGTGTTACAGCGATGGAAGGGAACAGGGACACCCTTCCCCTCCCCCCTCCTCCAATTTAGACAATCAATCACTCGGTGCCCACTCTTCATCTGTCAGGACGAGTCAAAGGTCAACCATTTCATTTTCTCCGATTTATGACCTTATCTGTTGATGTTCCAGGGTCACTAGATTGGATTTTGCCGTACATTGTGTTTATTGTGTGTTTGTCCACCAAAACTTGATGTTCTTTTACTGAATTCCCACTTCTTGCTCGTGCAGAAATGATTCCCTGGAGAGCAGGAATAATATGACAGCCTCAGCCAGAAGGTCTGGGAACGAGAGTGATGCTCTCTGGCTAGAGTTCCCCACCTGGGGGTTTTGCAGGCAGGACTGTCGGGGGTCTCTTCTTCCTCAGGGGGGGCTTCTGCTCAGAGGTCTCGGTCCGTGAGGTCTTGGGGTTCCAGCTTCGTGGCAGGGGAAGGGGGCAGGGGATGCTTCTTCAAACCTGGCAAACATTTGTTTGTAATTCATGCGTGGTGTGAGACGCAGCACTGCCGCGCTGTTCAATGAGGAACAATGTAAAGAAATTGGTGAACAGATTGCCACGTGCTCTGTGTTTGAACCGCGTGCTGTCACTGCTGCTACTGCATGGGTTTGAAACAGAGTGACAGTGCTCTGATTGAAGTAAATATGTAAGGGTTTAGGATACTGGGACAAGCATTTTGTATTGTAATAGATACTGTAATTTTCTGTTCTAATAGAAATCATATGAAGAAGACAAGGGTGGGGGTAGATTTGACAATTCTTGACGAATTTCAGAATGACGGATTGGTGGTCTGTAGCCAGTGTTGGTTCTATCTGTGCCCGTGTGGCACAGTTGTGTTGTGAGGGCTGTCTGTGTGTCTGTACGTGCCCAGGTTTGAATTGGGGGGGGGGGTGTAGATCTGATGATTCACACGCAGGGGAACTTTACGTACGGATGTGTGTAGATTTCACACAAGGGTGCTCTCTTGGACAGGTCTGAATTCTGAGTCCATTAAAGCAGGAGAACACGCAGTGCTCAGTAAAGAGGGAGCTCTGCGCCGCGCTTGTGCCCAGGTGCCTGTGCCCTCCTCACAGCAGAACCCCCGCCAGACCCTCTCCTTTCAGGTTTCTCTTGCTTTCCCCCACTTTCCAGATTCCTCTGGTATCCAGGAATCAAGCGGGCCCCCTCTCCCCCTGACTCGCCATCGATCTCTCTCCCTCTCCTTCTCCCCATCTTGCTTGTGCAGTGGATACCGCTGAACGATTAGTTCTGACTGGAAAGATCTACCGACATTTTTTTTGGGATTATATAATCTTTAAAGGCAAAGGCTGCATTTCCCTTGGGGCCTTGTGCTTGCTGAGAGACTCCCTCCCCCTCCCTTTCTCTGCCTTGTGTTTCTCCCCCTCCCCACTCCGACTGCCAGAGCTCTCTCAGCTTGTTCCTTTTTTCCTGGCTTACTGTTGGAAGTGCTCCCTGCACATGCATTATTCTCCTGTTTCTCGGCTCTTCGCTGTGATCCAGTGTCCTTCCCCGGTCTGTCCATGCAGGATCTCCTCCCTTGCTTCGCTGCAGACCGGACAGCCCTGACACTCCGTCATAAGGAGCCAGTGACAATAAGAGGGAGAGAGGGAGATAGTGGTGCCGCGAGTGCAGTGAACTGTGGTTTGATTGACATGTTCACACTGCAAGATGCTGCGCTGTCTCTTTAAGGCAGTTCACTAGGCCCTGCCCCCCTGGTTTGATTGGTCAGGGCAGGCTGAGTGGGCAGGGCTGTGTTCTTGAGATTCATCCTCCCATTGGCTTCTTTTGCTTTTAAAATGTAAATTTATTTCTCTTCTCCCTTTTCTCATTCCGGTTGCAAAATCTACGTAAGTTACAGGAATAGAACTGCATGATAATAAAGTGAGTTACCATTGCATGTAATTAAGTGAGACTGAGCCTGCTGTTCCTGCCTCTTGTTGGGGCTTGGATAGCACGCCGTGCACAATGGGAGAAAACACACAACACTCGCACACAGCCCCGTTTATCCCACACCAAAACACTGTCCATTAACAAGACACACACAAACACCTCATCTGCAATGGCGAAGGGACTCCCCTTTCACAGCAGAGTGAGCCTGCTCATGTTTCAAAAGCTGCAGGTTGCTGTGTATAGAATCCACTGGGAGACGCTGTGTATTTCCAGTTTGTTGATGTGCTTTCACCAGTAGGGAGGTGGAGCTGAATACCAGTTGCTTTCCTGATCCATCGGCTCAGTCGGGCCAAGAGCCTGAAGACTGCGACATGGCACAGCTCAAACTGCTGTGCAGTTCCCTCGCTGCTTTAACGCCACGCTGGCACACTCGCGCAGACGTTTACCTCCAGTGCAGTCGCTGTTTCTCACGCCTGGCGATGCGCTGGAACACCTCCACAGATGAGCTCGCTCCAGCACGTGTGTGTTTCTCAGGCACGCAGACGAGGTGGGCAGCGCCGCACACAGGCCCTCGTCTCGCACAGGCGTGTGTGTCGTATGGACATGTCTGTGTCACCTGGACACAGCCCACCTGTCTTCCTGTTCACATTCGCTGCCTCAGTCGTGTTTATGTGGCTTTTAGAATATTGTGGACCTGGATTGGATTCAAGTATTAAGTGGTATTGTTGTGTGCATATCTGTTGGCGTCACAGGCATATTTCTTACAAAGGAACAAGTAACAAGTTTATTCCATGCTGAAAAAAAGAAGAAAGAGAACACAACATTTCAGCCGTGGAGCCTGAAGAAGACCTGAAGAAGGCTCCACGGCCTTTTGTTCCTTTGTAGCCTACGCATGCTGACGCAGCTGCCCACCTGAACTACTATATTTCTTACAATAACTGTTTGTACCTAGCAGATCTCCCCGTCTGTCAATAATAAGAAGGATCGCAACAACATCGCTACTCTTCCCTTTCCTGCGATAACTCATCAGGACCCTATG